CTCTCCCTCCTCTTGGCGCAGGTTCCTCCAGGCTGAGGACATGGGGTTGAGGCCACTCCAGGGCGAGCCTGGGGGTCACCGTGTGGCTGACCCCAGAAAAGACCACCACAAAGTGGCTGATTTCATAAACAAGCAGTGCCTCCTCTCACGTGTAGGATCAGGGTCAACCTGAAGGTTGCTTCTGTGACATAAGATGTGTTTTCTACCTGACCCAGTCCCCAAGGGGAGTCTGGCTGTGCCAGAGCTTGTGCGAGATGAGGGGCTGGAAGGAGAGTGGGGGGAGCCCCTGGGACTGGGCTTCTGCCGTGGCTGTGAGGCTGTGGGAGGGGGGAACCATCGTGGTGGTGGCCGGGGAGCCATGAGCACTGGCTGGTGTGAAACTGAGCAACACCAACGGCTCTTTTCTGTGTTGCAGAGGGGAAAGACAGCATTGGATGCGACCTCCTGCTCAACCCTCCGGGCAGTTCAGACCAGGAGGAAGAGGAGCAAGAAGCAGACAACTTCATGTTTGAGTTCTCAGACAAGCCCCTGCTTCCCAGCTATAACCTCCAAGTGTCGGTCTCTCGGGGGTGAGTTTCTTTTCCCAAAGCAGGGAGTATTTGGGTGATATTAATGCTGGGGGGGGCGGGAGCTGATAGAACGGAGCCCTTGGCCTCACGAGGACAGCGGCCATCCAGCAAAGCCTTCAGGGTGTCCTCCAAGTGAGCGATAACGTGTACGGAAAATCCATGCCTGCCTGAGAAACGTGGAGAGCCTGAGCCGATTGTGCACTGGGGAGACGGGCTGTACAGTGGTGCATCATGTCCTGTAGATCCCAAAGCTCTTCCAAAGGAGAAGGTGCCTCTCTCCTCCCGCTGTTGCCACTCCTGGCCCCATTTTTCCCCAGGGATGCTGATGGGTCCCAGTGGATTGTTTCCCTTCTGTCATGGGGAAGGCTAAATCGAGTCCCAGCACTGGAGCAGCCCTCCCCTCCTGTGACACTGCGGCTGCTTCTTTTGTTTGGGCTGCAGGGGGTGAAAGTGACTTGGAAGAGGCAGCAACAGAAGTGCTGCTTCTCTGTTTAGTGAATTTCCTGCCAGTTTCTGCCCATCCAGAGGGGAGTGTCCAGGAGGAATGGCCGGCAGGGAATGGAGCCCCTGGTGTGGCTTTTTGCCGGGTGGGGATGCTGAGGGACATCGTGGGAGGTGTGACTTTCACACCATGTCCCTCTCTTGCTTTGAGTGCTTTAAAAAGGTGTTGCCCTGCCCGGAGTGACCAAACCCAGGCCTGCCTCAGCCCAGTGCTCTCTACGTGTGGTAGGCAGCAGCACGGGGAGAGGGTGCCTGGAGCTGCCCGGCAGCGCTGCATCAAGGGCAGGGCCAGCCTGCGGGAGGTGGTGAGACGGGCAGTGTGCCCGTGGACCTCTGCGCCCCTAACCCCCCTCCTCTTGCCGTCCTCGCAGGCCCTGCAACTGGTTCCTCTTCTCTGACGTGCTCAAGCGGCTGAAGCTCTCCTCCCGCATATTCCAGGCCCGCTTCCCGCACCTGGAGATCGCCACGCTGCCCAGGGCCGAGTTCCAGCGGCAGGTCTCCCTCAGCCAGGTGCTGGCGCAGGAGGAGGTGCCTGAGGGCCCCGAGGCCGCCCAGGGCCCCGCAGAGACAGTGGAGCTGGTGCACTACGAGCCCGAGCTGCTGCAGCTGCTGGGTTCGGCAGTGGAGTACGAGGCCTGGAGCAGCTGACGGGGGACGGGTGGCTCCCCCCATCACGAGGCAATAATAAGGACCAATGGGAAGCAGCCCCTCTCAGCGCCAGCAGCTGGGACCCCGGTCTTTGGCCCGCCAGCCCTCCTCTCCTGGGGCTCTCCTCCGGCAGGTGAGAGAGGGCCCTCGCCTCCAAGGACTTGCCAGGGTCCCCTCGCCACGAGCAGCGGCGGTTGCGGCCGTCGGCCCCCTCCGGCTCCGGCGGGCGATGGAGCCCCCTGCCCGGGGCTGTGTGAGCCGGAGCTCGGGGGCAGCGGCTGAAGCGGGGGGTGGTGGGTGCCGCTGCCCGTCCCCACCTCACCCCACGGAACTGCGCCTCTCTGTTTGCCCTCCCCCTCCCAACGTCTTCCATAGTATTTATTTAATTAGTATTTAATTTGTAATGTTTCCTTTTGTTTTTGCTGAGTCTGTATCACTGTGATGGTGAGCTCTGGGCTAGGGGATGGGGGCTTCCTCCGGCCCCTGCACCAGCCAGCCCCTGAGCTGCAGGCCCGGGGGGGGTCACCTTGGCTGAGAGCCTGGGGACAGTCCCTTCCCTTCACTTCAGAGCCAGCTTCTGCCCCCCCCAGCCGAGCGCCAGCCCCCCCTGCTCCATCCTCTCCCCCAGCTCCTTCCCACATCTCATTCGTGCTGCTGCTCCCGCTCCCCGGCGGCTGGCGCAGGGCAGACCCCGCTCCCTGAGCATACCCCCACGCTTCCCAGCAGCTTGTGTGTCCCCCCCCGGCCCCGGGGGCTCTGGTCACCGCAGAAGCCCCCTCCTCGCCCTGTGCGGTGTCTGCTCAGCCACACCCCGCTCCCTGCGCCCCTCCGGTGTCACCAGGAGCAGTTGTGGGGGGGAGCATGGGCACGGTGCCCGCCGGCCGGGCGCGGGGCAGGGCTGCCCCCCCCGGGGACGGTACAGTTTTATTGTACAGGTGCTATCGGGACTGAGGATGGGACAATCTTGGTTCTTCTGGCTCTGCCCCGCTCCCCCGCGGGAGCCTTGGGGGGGGTTTTGGTTGGTTTGGGGTTTTTTTTTGGTTTTTTTTTTCCTTTGTGTTGTGTTTCTTCCCAGCCAGGGCAGGTGTTTCCCCCTCCCCCCTTGGACTCCCAGCCGCCCCCCCGCCCCAGCCCCGGGGGGCCCGGCAGCACCTTGTTTAAGCCGAGGGTTTTTTTGCCTTTGGGTGTGTATTCTGGTTGCTCTTTCTGATTTCTGTTTTATTATAAGCAGCGACAGGCTGTGGTGTCAAAAACACTGATGTACAGAAAAAACCTGCATCAGGCCCCCCCGTCTCCTGCCTTTTCTTCCTGGGCTGGGGACGTTCCTGGGGAGGGGGCCAAAGGCCACCAAGGGGAAGGGGCAAGGGCCTCACCTGGGGACATTGTCGCACCCGAATGGCTCTTGGGGAGACTCTGCTGCTCCTCCCCACACATGGACACCCCTCTCGGGCTCCTGCTGGCAATGGAAGCGCCGGGGCAGAGCCACGGTGGGTGGCCATGTCCAGCCCCAGCGATGGCAGCCCTGCCTTGGGGGGCAGCAGGTCCCCATCTGGCTTCACCCCCGCAGGAGGAGAGGGGGCTTGGGGGGCACTGTTGGGATTTTAATTTTTGGTTTTGTTTTCTTTGAAATGCCTTGGAAAGATCTATTTTGAAGCTGTTTCCCCCATTCTGAGCCCAGGCGCCCCCAAGGGCTTCTCTACATGCCCAGGATGGACCTGAACCCCCAAACAGCCCCCGGAGGACCAGCCCCTGTGCTGGAGGAGGGAGGGGGGGTGTGTGGGAGGTGAGACTGGGGGCACACGTCTGTGTGTGGGTGAGTCTGTGACACACACACACGTTCATCGTCATCCACCCTTTTGTTTTAGATTCAGACATCCCTGGTCCTGCGCCCTCCAACCTGGCCTTGAACCAGGGATGGGGCTCATCATCATCCACCCCTTTGTTTTAGATCCAGACATCCCTGGTCCTGCCCCCTCCAACCTGGCCTTGAACCAGGGATGGGGCAGCCACAGTTTCTCTGGGCAACCTGGGCCAGGCTCTCACCACCCTCACACCAAAGAAGTTCTTTCTGGTATCTAATCTCCATCTCCCCTCTTTCAGTGTCAAACCCTTCCCCCTTGTCCTGTGGCTCCCCTCCCTGCTCCAGAGTCCCTCCCCAGCTTTCCTGGAGCCCCTTGAGGGACTGGAAGGGGCTCTGAGGTCTCCCTGGAGATGGCCCAGGCACAGACAAGCACTGGGGGGAAATCACCTTTTATTGGACTAGAAATCCTCTGTGGCTGGTGGGAGGCTGGTGGCATGATGTCCTCAGGGCAGCTGATGGCCTGGGGTGCCGTCCATGCACCCGTCCCTCCCCATGCTGCTCCCTCTGGGCGCTGCGCAGGCCCAGGGCCAGTTGCCATCTGCGGGGATGTGCTGGGCACTGGCAGCCCGGGGGCTACTGCTCTTCCTGCCCCCTGACGCAGGAGCAGCAGAAAACCCTGCATCAGGACTGGCTGTGCCCACTTGGGGCAGGCCCTGTCTCCCCCCCAGGGAGGCCATGGCAGGCCCCAGCCATCACAGAGGCCTGGCGGTCGCCATGGAGATGCCAGGCCCATGACCAGTTGGGACTGGCTCTGCCGTGGTTCTGAACCATCCGGGAACGGTGTGATGAGCGGGAGACTCACCGGAGAAAACATGACGGAGCTCTGTGAAGGCCTACTGGCACCAGTCCACGTTCAGGTAATGCTGAATTCCTCCTTTTGGCATTTATTTGCCCCCCCCTGTGGGAGCTGTGATGAGACGCTCCTTGTAAAGGTTTCTGTGCCCGGTTGGGGCACCTTGCTCTCCCCTCGGGGAGGCCATGGCAGGCCCCATCCATCACCCTCCAGCCCCATGCCCACAGCCTCTGCAGAGCTCAGCCCTGGGGGCCCTGAGCAGCTCGGGGGCCACCGCCTGGGCCTGGGGACCAGGGGGCTGAGGGGAGACCCCATCGCTCCCCAAAGCTCCCTCAAAGGAGGGTGTAGCCGGGGGTGTTTGGGTTCTTCTCCCAAGGAACAGGCCATGGGACGAGAGGAAACGGCCTCACGTTGCCCCAGGGGAGGTTTAGAGTGGAAATTGGGAGAAATTTCCTCACAGAAAGGGCTGTCAAACATGGGAACAGGCTGCCCAGGGCCGTGCTGGAGTCGCCAGTCCTGGAGGGATTTGGGAAAATGTATTTTTCCCTGAGGGAAAAGCGATCAGAGCTGGCAGAGTCCCCCCACTTTCAACCCAGCGAGGCCCGGGGGCAGGAATAAGGCCTTGAACTGAGAACAATCTGGATTTATTGGTGCAAATGTGAGAGCTCAGGGTGAGGGGAAATATTCACAAGGGCTGGGAGGAAGGTGTCCCAGCTGAAGGGGGGCACACAGCCAGCACCCCCCTGCCCCACGGGCTCCCGCTGCAGCGTTCCCCTCGGGAGCTCAGTCCTCGTGGATGTTGAAAAGCTTCGCCACTTCGTTGAGATCCTCATGCTCCTCCCCATCCTTGATGATCTGGAGAGAGGAAGGAGGCATTAAACCTGCCCTGACCAGAAACAGCCACTGCTGCCAGACTGTCCCTGTGGGCACCAGCAAGGGGAGGGATTCCTTAGACCCTCTCTGGAGCTGGTGACAACTTGGGGTCCTCAGGCTGTCCCCACCACAGCACCAGCACCTACTGCAGCCACAGCCCCAGGGGAGCCTGAAACACAGCGTTGTCTGGTGACAGCCATGGCTGGAGTTAAACCCCACCTCCCTGTCCCTGTCCCTGCTGTCTGGGTTCCCCTTCACAGCTGGGGACAAGGAGCGTCCTCCGAAAGTGACTCCTCTCAGCTCTGAGGAGATGAGCTGGTCTCTGAGCACTCGCTCAGAGGAGCCGCTGTGAGGGGCTCAACCCCCCCGTCTGGCTTTTGGGCAACGAGAGCGAGAGGCCCAGGAGCCCGTAGGAACTTGGCTTGGGTGGAAGGAAGGGAAGGATCGATCTCTCCTGGGGATGGGAGAAGGAATGGGTTTAAACTGCATTTGGAAAGGTTTAGAGTAGATACCGAAGGGAACTTCCAACATTAATGTGGTTCATTTTGGGCCGGATCACCCGGGGACAGTGTGGTAACTACTGAAATTCTCCAAAGATGTTAAAATAACGACCTAAGTGCAGCTGCTCTTACCTTGGAGGATGGAGACAGACTATGGGGGATGGAGACAGACTAAGCCCCTACTCAAGGCTGCTTCTAACCCTGACTTTTTGTGGCTGTGCATCTAGGATGACAGATGTTTAAGACTGTTTTAGACACTTGTACATGAGACAAAGTAGCACAAAAATAGGACATTTCACTCTGATGCCCCCTCACGTGTGGTTCTTCCCTGTACTTACTACAGACCTGAAATTTCAGCCATGCAAAGGCAAGGCTTGTAGAATAAACCTAATTCCAGTTGTTTCTGTAAGAATTTTGAGCAAACATGGGACAGGGCTGCCAGTGGATATCACACAGCTCTGCTCCAGACACAGCATCTGCATCAAGTTATCCTCATTTTAAATTGGTGGATTGATTTTTCCACAAGAAAAATCCCCAATCTTAGGCAGCCTCACCCTTCAGTAAACTAGTGCTGTACTAACCTTCCGAGCAATGGGCATCCTGTTGAAGATGTTCCACAACACGATTCCTACCACAACTTTATCCCTGAGGTAGAAAATGACGCCTTTGCCATAATCTTCTCCTGGCTTTGGAACCTGAGGCGTCGGCGAAGAGCTTGGAGCGATGCGAACTTCTGAGGCTTCTGCTTCTGTTTCACTCTCTGATCGAATACCAGTCCCTAGGGCAAAGACAAGGGATATCAGCCATCCAGGGCGCAGAAAAGTGGCAGGATTTGCCTCTGATGGCAGAAGCAGCCTGAAGAGTGAGGCTCTTGAAGAGATTGAGGGGTTTGTCTTCAAGTTGTGTCCAGCAGAAGTTAAGTTTCAGCAGCACAAGAACGAAGCAACGCCAATGTGAAGCACAACTCTGAAAGTTCCCACCCTCCACCACCAACTGCGACAGACAGAACAGTCTCCTTCCAGGCAGCACACACTAAATAAATATTCTGAGATCCCCACGATCTCTTTCATGCAAAACCTGACCATTGTATTGCCATGGAGGAAATTAGGCTTCACTGGGAAAAAAAAAACCACAAACGTTTAGTTTTGGTAAATGGGTTACACAATGTCTCCTTGGAGGAATGTTATGTTTTAACCCCCTTTTAATGTCAAAACCAGCCTTTAAAGCTAGAAAAGTAAACATTGGTGTCTTAGTGCTCTGCACCGAGGTCAGACTGATGCTACAGGAGACAGAGAACCCTCCCGGGCACAACGACAGCCCTACCTGACTGCTCCGTGGCACTTTTCGGGGTGTCTTTTGCTGTTGCTTTAGCAAAAACTCCAACCGTTGGCAAACTACTGTCAACGAGGCCGATGGCTTCGTACCCTACGTTGGGGCCCAGATCGCTCCTGGGAATGAAGAAGAAAAAGACAGTCTTTTGTAGCATCAGAGACAAACACAAAGCAATTCCATCGGCCCCAGGTCCTTAACGACAGCACAGTGTGAGACAGGTCATGGACACAGGAGAAATCACACACATCACTCCCTTCTGCGTACATTAGGGTGGAGCAAGGACTAAGATACAGCAAGGCCAAGGCCATCAGCTTCAGGAGAAACCAGTTCGATGAACAAAAGCTGAAAAAACCTAAGGCCTGCTCCCTTGAAGGAGGCTGCGTGGCATCCCAGAGCTGCGTGTGTCTCAACTCATTCAGAGGTCACCATCTGACCCCACCACGCAAACGCGAGGAGCGGGACACAATGACAACACGTCAGAAATAACTATTTTCAAGGGGCCTTCTCCAAGAAAAGTAAAGCTCCTTTCCCCACATTTAAATTCCTGCTAACTTTATCTTAACTTCTGACCATGAGCTTACAGGCTTTGGGAGGGTTTTTTGTACGTGTGTACGTTATTTTCTGTTTGTTTGGGGGGTTTTGTGTTTTGTTTTAAAAAGAACTGCAGAAAGATACAGCAGAAATGCCCATTTTCTCTGGAAAACAACAAACTTTCATGTACGCAGTGACGTGTTGCTACTAAAGCACCAGTTCAGCTCATCAGCAAAGGCGCAACACGACTGAAACCAAGAGGCTGTGCTGGGGAACTACAGAGGATGGCAACAGAAAAGCTGCTGCTAAGCTCAGCCTGCAGACCAGCCTGCTCTGAGGAAAGGGGCTACTCTTTATCGCTGCTTCCTTCACGGAACGGGACTCGTTCAGGGAGAAACTGGGATCTGCCGGAAGGAAAACCATGTCAGAGAGGTGGGGGCAGAGCAGTGGACGCTGAAACGCCTCCCCATTCCCTGGGCTCCTGGGAACAAGCAGCTGCACGAGGTGTTTGCTGAAATTTCACTGTGCCCAGGGAACAGAAACCTTCACCAGGTGCATCTCGTCACAGCTCCCTCAGCGGGGCCGAATAAGAAATGCCAAAGGGAGGAATCAGCATTACCAGAACATGGACTGGTGCCAGTAGGGCTTCGCAGCTCCCGTCATGTTTTCTCCAGCGAGTCTCCCGCTCACCACGGCGTGGTCGTGGTGCTCCACACGTCTCCTACCCAGTTTGATATCATAGAAACAAGCAGCGTCCCCTGCCTTGAAGAGAATCATCCAGTGAGGACTGAACGCTGACACTGAGAGCTCCCGTTAATGCACAAACAAAAGGCACTGGGATGAGAACCAAGGGGAACCATCAACTCAGTTTTTGTGACAAACCCCAAACACCACTGTGCCTCATCCCACTGCCCGGGCTACCCAAGTCCCAGCTTCTCAGCACTTTTCACCGATCTTTGGAAAAGTAAGACAGCATCGGGTACGTTTTCCCAGAGGAATCCAAGTCTCGACTCCCACCAAAGGGACTCTTTCACCCCAGAGTAACCTGGGTTATCTCTAGGTTACCCCGACTCCTCTTACACAGCATAAATCCTCGAACCCTCGCGCAGCCGTTGCCACAGCAACAGAGCGTGCCGCGGTGCGTGACAGACCCCGCGGCTGCCAGCCGGAGCTGCGCTACAATCGGCCTCGATACTTGCTATTTTTTGCCCCATTCACCTCATCGATATCTACCAACTCCCGTAACTGTGTGTTCCGAGGGCATCAGCGTGACCAGCAGGGAGAGGACTCCCCTGTGGGTACTCACCACCCAGATGTTGGAGCGTGCCTGCAGCTCCGCGTTCACCCGGAACCCCCCGAAGTCCGAGTCCACCTCCAGCCCAGCGGACTTGGCCAATTCCACGTTGGGCTCCAGCCCTACCGCAGCCACAATGTGATCCGTCTCCACCTGTTTGGGAATTCATCGTTATTACCTTCATCCTCTGGGTGCCCCTGAAAACTTCACCCTCTCCCTGCTTTTGGATTTACCTTTCGGCCGTCTTTCAGCTTAATCAGCAGCCGCTTGCCAGAGACAGAGACGGACTTGACCACAGCGTTAGGCATGACATTGACACCCTCTGGAAATAAACACAGGAGAATGAACTGCTTGTGCAGGGGCAGAGATTCCGGCCGAAGCAGGAATCGTTGGTGCCGCTGGGCAGAGCAGGGGCTGCTGAGGAACCAAGGGAGAGGCCACCCTATCTTTGCTGCAGGTGCCAGTGGTTCTGGGCGAAGCAGCAGGAGAAAGAAACCCAGCTAAAGAGTTGGAAAAAGCTACTTAAATGATAACCAAAACTACATGTGCCATATGATGACAAGGTCACATCCAGAACTGCCCCAGACAGGTTCTCAGGCACTAAGGACACTCAATTACCTGTTGCTCTGGCACAGCCAGACCCAAGGGTGTGATAAGACAAATTCCATGAACAAAAGACAGTAACTCAGGCCCATGGTTATCTATCTGCAGCCCAAACTGCAGCCCTCCCCCCTCTGCCCACTCTCCACCTTCCACTGCACAGGAGCATCCTCCGCACTTACTACAGTGAATGGGAAAAAGCTGTCTCTGATCTCACTGACTTTATCCACCAAACACCAGGGCAGTGTGTGCACGAGGTGTGGGGCTACACGACCCTTCTCTCTAGGTCACTCCTGGACGACTCCATTGGGCTGTCAGAAGTAACGTTATTCGAGGTTAGAGCACCCCAAAGAGGAGAACAGGCAGTTCTGGAGAGCTCATGCTCTGAGAGCACCCCAAAGAGGAGAGCAGGCAGTTATCGTGTGACAACTCCGGTCCCAGATTGCAGGGGCTGTTAAAGTAACTCGCAGTACGGCAGTAGGGATCACTCCCTGCCAGAACAGCCAGAGGGAAAGTCTCACTGGTGTCAGAATGCAGACTTGTCCAGCTCTCCCAGAGGAGCTGCTGAGAAGGCAGACTCGCAGCAGCTCTGTGCTACCCAAGCAGCTCATCCTGTCCTGCTCCTGGACCACCTTGCGAGGGCCCTGGTCTTCCCGGGGCTCCCCTCACACAACCAGAGCTGCCTTTCACCAGGAGGAACCACACCACAGCTCTGCCCCTCGCAGGGGAGGAGCACCGAAGCGCAGCTTCACCTTTTCTGACTTTCTCCGTGGTCCAGTTGCTCAGATATTCAGGCAAGACTTTGCCCATATTGCCGTTCTCTGGGAAGAGCTGGATCACCTCCAGGCCCCTGGTTCGTGCTGGAAGGAAAGCACAGAGCAGGCTTCTTACAACCCAGGGATAAAGAGCAGCAGCACAGACTTTGGGACATGAGCATGCTTTACTTTACACGAGGAGCTTGACAGAAGTTTCCAAAACTGTGAGTTCTGGCCCTCAGATTTTCCACAGGAGTGACAAAGTGAGTGGCCACCACTTCACGCACACCTGCAAACTCCACAATATCAGAGAGCAGGCTTTTCCCCAAAATACTAAGCATTTTACTTAAAACTTCCCTTATTAGAAAATTTACCATAAAATTACTACTCAAAAAGCTGCACACACTTGACAGTAGGAATCCAGTTGTTCACAACCTCTTTGGCATATTAGTTTCAGGGTAACTTTTAGCACTGAGAGAGCAAATGTAACTTTTTCCAGGGTGGAATGACTTTGCATCCCGCAGAGCTTCCAGGGACCCCAACACACAGGACCCGGTGTGGTCAGGCCACACAGCCAGCAAAGCACCCGGGCATTGTGGGGTTATTTCAGGCAAACCACAAGTCTCTGCACAAACTCAGCAGTTGGGGAATGCAGAGGAAGTTTCTGGTGCCACGGGCTGCTCCCATTCAATGGCTATCGCTTCTGCTCAGGTGCCAGCAGGAGAACTCACCTCTTCTCCCCAGAGCACAGGCCAGCTCGCTGCCGAGAAAACCACCACCGATAATCGTGATGGACTTGACTTCTCTTGAGATCTTCTCCAGACTTTTGAAGTCCTCAATCTGAAAGAAGATTTATTCCCATTTCAAACAGGCCTGGCAGGCAGAAGATATTTTTCTCCAATTTCTCCCTTTGAAATAAGAGCGACTCTCCCCAGCCTAGAAAGGGAAACACGTTTCTCCTTCCTCCTGTTCATCCATTGCACAGAAAAACCTCAAGCTTCCTAACATTTGCGCGAGTGCTTCTCTGTCCAGGCAATCTCAGAGCCCTGCATTTTCCCCTAACTTTCAAGAAAAATGAAATTTCTGGACACAAACGTGTTACAGCACATACTGAGAGTACTACAGGGATGGCACAGCTCACGTCACCCATCTGTCCCCTCCTGCAGCTGAGGGGAGCAGCCCTGAGGAGAAGCCCAGCACCAGCAGAAAGGTCCAAAGGCTTCTTATTCCCCATTCCCTCCCTGCCCTACACTGAGGAGAAGGCCCCACACCTGTTCTAACCCCATGTGTCCAAGAAAGTGTAGTATGTCAACAAAAACCAACTCTGCAGCAAAAATCAGAGGGGCATTGACTGACTTCCATGTCTTTTACTCCCTTTGTCCCAAGGCACAGGATGAAGGTGAAGAAATGCCATGAAGAAGGCACGGATATCAGATTATTGGCTCATTGGAAAACTATCTAAGCCAACCCAAGGGCTAACGTGAATGTTTAACTTCCTACTGAGTGTGAAAATCAGATTATTGGTTCATCAGAAAAACTACCTAAGCCAATCCAAGGGGTAACATGAACATTTAACTTCACACTGAGCATGGCTATCATATTATTATTTCATCAGAAAACTACTGAAGCCAATCCAGGAGCTGACATAAACACTCAACTTCACACTCAGCTAAAATTCCAGAGCCTGGGAGCAGTCCCTGTCCTGGCTGAGGCCCCAGTGCTGGACTGTGTCACACACTAAGAAGTGTGGGGCTGGAGCACTGAGCTTCCTGCCTCGACACGTGGCCCCCCAGGCACACACTGCTTGCACTCCAGACCGACTGGCAGAGCTTACTGTGTCCTGTTTTTAAAAGGCCTGGAAGGTGCAGCAAAGTCATACAAAAGGGAAACTAAAAAAAAAACCCCAATAGTCACACATTATTACAGCTCTAGGCCTGAGACAAGCAGATGAATGGCCTAATAGACCCTGCCCTGTTTACCTGCCTGGGGAAAAGGAATAAATAGCCAACAGGCTCCTGGTTACCCCCCGAGGGTGGCAGCTGCCAAGGAAAGGCTGTCCCGGACCCAAAGCAGAGAGTTAAAAAGCTGGAAATAGCAGCAGTGGCTCTGGTTGTTTCCAGCCTCCCCCCAGGACCAGCAGCTCCCGGAGATTACCTTTCGGAACAGCGTCAGCCTCTGCTGTACTTCTTTTCCTGCTCTTTCAATGGCAGGTAAGTTCCTTGGAGAACCACCTGAGGACAAGGGCAGAAAGAGAAAGACTAATGGCACCACGGCGTGTCGCTGGCTACCCAGAGAGTGCAAAGCTGTCTTTAGTCCGGACTGTGCTCTCCAAACTGTTACAATACGCTCTGTTCCCTGCTGCTGTCTGGGTTTTTAACATGAAAGATCTTCTGTGTGAGCAGCAGGTGACCCAACAGCCACCCAGGAGAGAAAGATCTAACACTCCACACCTTGCTCTGCTGACCAGAGACAGCCAGTCCCACCCGAACCACAAGGTCTAACCCTGCAGAACTGCCAGGGAGATGCTGGAGCCGTGCTCTGCCCAAGTGAGAGCTGGTGGTTCTGCTTCCTGATGCTACGCGCAGGATTTGAAGCGGTTGGTCTGTGCAGGAGCTACTGGGGAGTCCCCTTTTCCTCCTTCCCTGCCCATTTACACAGGGCAAAACTTTGAATGAGAAGCTGGCTGACGTGAGGGAGGTGAAACCCCCAACGGCACGGCTGTCTGTGTGACTGTTCTTTGTGTGACAGCTCTGCCAAGCGTCTGACACATACAGCAGAAACTTCCTTGTCAAATAAATGCCACAAACAAAAAGCCTGTCACAAGACAAAGAGAAAAAACCCAACGACTTACCGGTGGCGATTAGACACTTGTCATAGGATATCTGGGTACCATCACTGAGCTTCACTGTGTTGCCTCTAACATCCATATGCACGACCTGCAAAATTAAACAAGCCACAGAGCTCCAGCCTCCATGCGCTGCAGGCCATTTGAGGCAAACTATTGATCTGGGAAGCAAACTTGGAAGTAACATTTTCCCATCTCTATGCTGGGGGGAAGGGAGAAGCCTGGAAGTAGGAATTGAGACAACTTTATCACAGATCACGCTGATCTCCCCAGGATCTGAGCCTAAAGAATGGACTCAGACACCAGCCGTAGCTCAGCACTAAGAGGAGTCACTGAAATCTTATTTTAAAAACATATAACAAACTGAGGAAGGAAATATATTAGAAGCCTCGTGTAGCTCAGCACTGAGAGGAGTCACTGAAATCTCAATTTAAAAACATAAAAAACTGAGGAAGGAAATATATTAGAAGCCTCACATAAACTTTGCCACCTCCCTGCTGCTTCTGGACGATGCTTTTGCTCACATTATAACCCCCTACTCAGATGACTCCTCTCCCACCTCGCCCCCTGAGCGATCACAGCCCAGTTCCCATTTTGTCACACTGTCACTAAGCTCTACGGATTCTTATCCCTCCCCCAAACTCTAGACTTGCTATTCTCCCCTCAGCTCACCACCATTCCTCGTAGCTTCTCCCGTTATCAATCCTCACTCGCGCTGTCCTTACGATGAGTGCAGTCCCTGCTTCCTCCCATATGCTTTTCCCAAACTCACACACCTCCTCCTCCTCGGCCAGCCCCCGGCCCCACCACCCACAGCCGCTGGGCTCCAGCCTCCAGCTGGGCTCTGCTCGGGAAGAACCGTATGATGCCAGACCAGCAGCGAGAGCCGTACCCACCTTCTTGCCACAGAGAACAGCTACTCCCCCATTTTCTACAAAAGGCAGGTCTCGGACAGGCACGTAGAATGACGGCGGCTGGAAATAGATACTGAAAAAAGCTCCATTATCAAATGGGTTCTGCTTCCTCTGTGACACCAGCTGTTCAGCAGGTACCAGTGACACAAGGATAACTCTGTGCACCTGTAACTAGCTCCAGAGTTCTTACTGATCTATTTCTAAGAATTAGGGTCTTCACACTGTTGAAGTTCAAGGGTTTAGAACAGTAAGGCTTTATCGCAAAAGTCACAAGAATCAAGTATGACCCAGGAGCTCTGCTCTAAACCCCCACCTTTACTATTAACGCATTTCATGGGATTTCTGCCAGCGGTGGTGGATGTCTGAGGGAACTGCAGTGAGATCCAAGAGGTACGAAGCACAGAGCTAACACCGCCCAGGCCCCGCACACAGCGCATTGCTGTCCCCTCTCCTGACAGCCCAGTGACAACACACACACACACACACACCCCTGGGCTCCCTTCACCCAGAAATGTACCCAGCGGTTTGTCCACGCAGCACCCGGGCCCTCCAGAGCAGCAGCTCTCACTAGAGCAGTTGGATCATGGTCAGCTTTTCATTGAGCCCTCCAGAGCTCTGCAGCAGCTCTCACTCGAGCAGTTGGATCATGGTCAGCTTTTCATTAGACTCTCTCCTTCAGCCCTGCTGCCCACACGGACACCTACCTCCTCTCCTTGCCATTCCACTGCTTGAACCGCAGCGTCTCTGTCACATGGGGATCATCGGAAAACCACAGTTCTTTGGAGAGAGGCGGACGCATGTAGGGCAGGGCAGGATCTTCGGACACGATCAGCACCTTTAATTGGTCATTAAACACGTCAGCTGTGCCGATGCTGGGCAAACGGCAAAACACAGGCCAGAGGCTCAGGGGCCAGCCCAGCTCAGCCCCCAGCCATGCTCTACAGGCTCTTACCCGGGCACCAGGGTCACGAGCCCGAATGGATCTGGCAGCAGCAAAAGCAGCCGTTCCTCCACCGATCAGCAGGAAAGGAACGTGGGACGGGACCTCGGGGCGAGCCCCTGGAGCTGCAGGTGACAGATGGGACAGCTTAGGGCAAACCCAGCCCAGAAACCGGCCCCAAGAACGGAGTGTAGCACCAGAGGCCTTTCACACACAGACTTCCTTCAGCAAATCACCCTTGGAATACCTTCTCCTTCCCTCTGCTCCACCCAAAGCTGCCTCCCTGCATGCATCAAACCGTCACATTTCAGCAGGTTATTTTTTCTAAGCTGGATGGCAATGGCAGAGTTTTGGAACAGGAAAGACTGTCGCTATTACGTTTGCACAGCTGGGTGAAGTGGGTGCAAAATTGAAGACCCACAAAGTTAACTTCCAGCATTCAATACACAGCTTCAGAAGCTTCATGTAGGACCAGGACATACCCTGTAGAGCAGATTCAGGACAGCAAAAACACGCTCAGCCTCCGCTCTGGCCAAACAAAGCACCAGAGACCTCACGTTGGGGTTTGGTTTTTTTTGCTAGGCCAGCAAGAGGGACACAGCCAAAGGATCATTCAAAACACCAGGAGAGGAGATGTGGCCTGGGTGTCGTTCAAACCAGAAAGCAATTTTCAAAATTATTTGGAAAATAGGAACTGCAGTGTTTGATTTAGCTGCGTGTCATCTCTAAGAACACAAATCAACTTGTGAGCGAGACCAAAACTCTGCACCGGCCATTCAGCGAGCGCTTTATAAGAAAGTAAAGTTCCCTAAAGTGCTAAAGCCCATTTTTGTGTAATTGCATTCTGAAAGGAGACCAACTTTTGAGTTCCCACCAGAATGCATTTCCTCCCACATGCAGGTCCTGTTTCTAAGCAACATGGGGTTAAACCATAAGTAGGAATAAAGCAGTCAGTTAAATATTACCATCAAGACTCACCTCTCGTGCCCCGAGAAGCAGCATCTGTACCTGGAAGAGAAGACACGGGTTACTCAGCGAAGTGCAGCCCAGCAAGGACCGTGGTGCAGGCTGAAACCAGGAGGCCACGGGATTAACTCCACTAAACAGGGACCAATCCTCCAGAAACACACACCTACTGAGATCTCAGCATTGAGGCTGTTCTCTCTGCTCCCCAGCCCCAGCCCTGACAAGCAGCACCATCCTCTCCCTCCAAGCAATCACTTTTCTGTCCTGTCTGCAGGACATCCTGTTGGTTTCCCAGAGAAGTGACACAACACACCCAGTCTTCTATGAGCTAAAGCCAATCAGTAGGAAATAAATCCTCCTTTGGCTGAGCAGTTCAATTTGAGATTTTGTGCATTAAGAGACCTTTGAGGAGCAACCTGTGGTACCACAGACAGCCTGCAAAGGATCAAGAGCCTCACCAATTGACCCCATTCTTCCCTTTACTTCTCGCATGCCCAGGGAGAGGATTTGGTGCTGGCAGATCACATCATCCCTTTGGAACCACAGGGCCTTTGCCAGGCTGGGTAAGGACAGAAGCCAAAAGCAGGGCTAACTCTTCTCTCCTCTTATCACAGGAGGCATAAACGGCAGGAAGGAACCCCGAGAGACAACCTACTTTGTCCTCACAATTATCTGTAAAACAGAGCCTTGGTCTGGGGTCATGGAATGCTCCCACCAGCCCCTGTGCTGGGAAGACACAGGAGCTCACAAACAGCAGAACACCCCGGAGGTGACAATGCTGTGACGGGGCAGCTCACGCTTTCAGAAGGGCTCTGTTCCATTTGCTTTAGAGGTCTCAGGTTAGCAGCTTATGAAAACCAGGCCCAAGCCTAGAACCAGCAGGGTAGTACCCACCAGGAGATGATTCACTTTCTTGAGATCGCGTAGTTATTGTCGAGACACGGCTGGTGAACCGCTCCTTGTTGTCTCTCAGTGATTTGTACACCTGGAGACAGAGGAGGAGACATTTACCTGGTGCACCGTACAGCAGCAAGGCACCGTTCTGCCTCCACCCCCAACAGCCTTTTGTCTGCCCTGCTGGCTCAGGACAGCCATCTGCTTCTGACTAAACCACAGGGACCAAGATGTACCTCCCTGAAAAAAGTGCCCATAAAGGTATGTATGCTGAGCCACCAGAGGAGTGGCTCAGAAAACCATCTGCTCTACGAGTGGTGTGATGGACCTCTGCTGGCTGGTTGCCTTCCACAAGCAAGGGATCAACCTTTCTGCAGGTGTGTGGCCTCTGGGCTGCAGACCGGGCTCATGAGGAACCAGGTATAACCAAAAACATGCAAACAAAGCCCCAAAGGCTATTTGCAAGCTGTGCTGCGTGCTGGCACAACACAGGGCTGAAGAAAAGGAAGATAAATTAAAGGCAAAAAAGCAACTCCCGGCTTCCAAAGCCCAGAGCAGCTGGAGAGGAGCAGCCAACAACTTGAGTGGGGGTTTTAGGCCAGATGTTACGGTGAGCAGCGGTACCAGCCCTGACGCCAGCACCGCTCCTCCGCACGGGAACGGCCTTCAGCTGGAAGAGACTCCGTGTCTGAACACTCACCCTCTGGATATCCCTCTGGGAACCTCAGACACAGCATAAACACACTGCCTGGTCCGGGATACAATTTAGCAGTACGAACAAGGAGGGAACATCTTTTAAGATGTCCCTTTAACTTCCGAGAAAAAACGGTGACGTAGGGAAGCACAAGGCAGCGAGACCGCTGGAAGCAGGTCGTGGTACCATATTTTACCCCAGTTAATAAATAAGGGAAGCAAACAATTTTTTAAAGGCAAAACCTAGCCTTGCTAATAATCTCTGTCACATGTGCACCATGTTCACTTTCAGTGTGCATCGCTTACAAAAGGGAAAAAAACTTCTTGAGACAGTCTGGAGCACAAGTGTCTCTTCAATCACTGGATTTTGAATTGTGAAAGAATGTTAAAACTGGAACATTTCCAGCAAGAAACAAAAGCCTCAGAAACGTAAAGGCAGGGCAGGTACCGCCGCGGCTGGTGCCAAAGCAGTCCCTGTCAGCTCACCCAGCATTGTGACACCCAGACGGTGTCCAAACAGTTAATTCCTTCAGGGAACTGAAATCTCTTTTGCCCCCCAGACATTCTGCATTTCACCAGTCTCCACAGTAAGGTGGTTTCTGACACAGCAAATACTCTCCAAAAAGAATGGAGGGATTTAATGCCAGGCAGGAAAAGCAGCCCAGGAGACAGAGGCATACCCAGGGAGCTGACACAACGTCAAAACCAGCAGAAAACAAAAACTCCTCAGTGTTGAAAAGAATTGAGATATTTTTTAAGCCTTTTGCTAAAACATCTAAAAGTCAAGGTTAACAAAACTACCTCTGCTTTTGCAAGCAGAACCATGATGTTTTTAAGTGAGTGTGAAGGGCAGCACACAGCAAACTAAATCTGAGCCCTTAGTTAAAAAAAAGCTCATTATGTAAATGTAAAACATCAGGTCAGGTCTGCAGGAGAAATTTCCCCAAAGGGACAACACCAAGGTCTTTCCAGCCAGAACCACAGCCGGGTACTTTGCCAGGTCAGAGTGACATTTGCTTGCTCTTCTCTGAAGAAATCACAAAGTTAGACAAGTTTTGTTCTCTTGAATGCTTGTATTTAGTTGATTATTTCCTTTCCTTGTGTGCCAACGTTTCTGATCTCAGAATACACACGTTAATTAATTAGTGTCTTCCTGATGGTTATAAATGAAAGATGGCCGGGTTTGGTTTTAGATTCATTTAATGTGGAAAAGATAATTCTGATTTTCCCCACTAAGAACTCCCCTGTTTTAGAATATCAAATTTGTAAACTTAAATTATTTAACAGTGTCTCTTGAAACTGAATATCTGAGGCCAGGGGGAGGGGGCACAAAGATGGTTTAGTGCAAGTAAATGGCTAATTTGGGATGACATAGAGAACAGTGCCCTCCCCCCGCCCTCTCACCCAATTAAAACACATTTATTTAAGTCTTACATAAGCTCCAGTCCCAGTGACTGTTCCTCCTACAATTAAGTACAACAATAGGTTGCTGCCAGCTTTGCCAGGAACACCCGAAGACGTCAGGGATCTAGAAGGGCATCTTAGATGAGGACATTGCAAAACTGCAGGAGACGACAGGCAAGGAGAGAGGGAAAGAGCAGGGTGTTAGGAAGGACTCTTGATTAAACAGATCTTGGGAAAGGCAGAATGTGGGTTGTAATTTCAGTTACCTTCTTTGTCAAACAAAGGCACAGCAAAGAATATTTAAAGAGAACAGGAAAAGATTTTTCCTCCATGCACTGTTCTGATTTATTTATTTATTTTTATTTCCCAGGGGCCTTCTGCATGTGAAGAGATTCATTTGGAGAAAATCAGGACTTGGAACTTTTAATGAATGGGATCCTCTAAGAGAAAGAAGCAGAGATTTGTGTGAGGTAAATTCGGGACCCATCCACTCCCCGGTAACGCCGCTGCTCTTCAGCTGCCTGGGAAGGCCATTTACGCTCTAGGTTGGGCTGAAAAGCTTTATTCTTTTGAATCTTTGGTGCAGGACATAAATGCATGCTCACTGCTTGTGGGCTGCTTCTGTGTGCTTACACAGAACACTGCTGTTCTGAACTGAGATTTAGCAAAGAAGGGTTTATTTTGGTATTAAAAGTAGATACCATCCAGCTCCCCCCGAGCTGTATGCTGCTGTCACACAACAGACAGAGTGTGGTTGGGCATTGTATGTAAAAAAAAAAAAAAAAAAACCTAAAAGGATTTTCGTAGTTAAAACAAAAAACTAAAAGGTAACTGAAATTACAGTTAAAAAAAAAAAATCATCCTCAGAAGTGAATTTCCAGCCAGCTCCCCTTGAAGTTTTCTGAAGGAGGAAACAGCTAGAGATGAAAAGTTGGGAAAAGTCAGCTGAAGGAGAGCGAGCGTTGACGGGAGAGACGTGTTGCAGCTTCTGTCCCTGAGCTCCCCTCCTACTTACATAGACACCCGCGCCCAGGGTTGACAAGCCCACAACAAGGACAAGAGCAGAGCTCTCTCCTCTGCCCCCGGGCACCCCGGTGCCCGCCGCCCGGCTGCTCTGCGCCACCGCCGCCGGAACATTCCAGCGCCGCAACAAGTTGCCTGAGGAATACAATGTGTTAGAGGGGGGAAAAAAAGAAAACCCAAAAAAACCCCAACCAACACACACAAAAAGACTGTCAATACAAAGTTGTGGTTTGGAATTTAGAAACCAAGTCAAGAAGCTGCTCGTTTGAAACGCCCAGCACCACATCTGAGCGACGGCAGCGGGTTATTCACAGCCCCAGGCAGCGGTGGAGACAAAACCCTCTGGAGGATCAAAGGGACACCCACAAATGAACAGCAGAACATCCAGTGGGAAGCTGGAAAGCTGGTCTGGGGCCGAAGGAGCCCCCCGGGCGGGCAGTGCCGCCACAGAGCGACCAGGGACGGGCACCTACGGCTCCTCCGCTGCTCCGGAGCCCTTCGCCCGGCCCCGGCTGCACTTTGCTCCCCCCGGAGCCGGGGCCACCCTGGGCTCGTTAGGGCCGGGCCCTTCGCCACCCCTGCCCGTGCCACCGAGGGAGACCGGCTTCTGCGGAGGGAAGGGGCATCCCCGGGGAGAAGGGGCAGCAGGGTCTGTCCGTCCGGGGGGAACGGCTCCGGGCCGAGCGGCGGTACCGCGGGGTGCGGGCTTTTAACTGCAGCTTAATTAGACTCCCGCCTGTCTCAATGAGGTCTCTAAACGGAGCGGTGACGGCGATGGCTCCGAGCGCTACCTGTAGCCGAAGCTCCTCTGCAGAGCCCGCTCCTTCCTCCTCATCCTCCTCCTCCTCCGACCCGCTAACCCCCTTTGATCCCTTTGCCCAGCGCCGCCCGGTTGCGGTACAAACCCGCAGCGGCGCCGCCAGCACCCGAACGGGCACGGCGCTGCTAATTAGCTAATTACCCCTCCTCGCGCCCTCCGGCTCGCGCTTTCCCAAAATACACGAGTTTTCCCTCCCGTTCCCGGGGGCTGAGCCTCCCCCCGCCCCGGCTCCCCCCCAGCGCCCTTCTCCGGCGGCTGGCGGCGGAGCGGAGCCGCCCGGTCCCGGTGACCGGGGGCAGAGCAACCCCCCGCACCCGGAAAATGCCGCCGGAAGCGTTTTTTGTCTAATTACGCCAAATGACCTCCGCCTCCGGCAGTGCCCGCAGCCGCAGTCCGGCCGCCCTCCGCCCGCATAACGGGAGCCGAGAGCCCGGGACCGAGCTGCGGCTGGGGAAACCGGCGGCTCCCGACGGCGGCCCGTCCCCCCCGGTGGGAGGAAGCCAGCGGCGGGGACCGGCTCCCGCTGCTTTCACCGAGTCCCCCTCCCTTCCCCCCCGCACTCGGGCCTATTCCACCGGCAGGGCCCCGCCAGCCCTCCCGCCGCCGCACCGGGAGAGACCAGCCCCGCTGCCCGCCCCGACTGACCTGCGGCGGCCCC